GTGGGGGACTGTGTGAAGGGGTGTGGGGGTCTGTATGTAAGGCAGTGCAAGGGGGGGGTGCATGTGTGTGGTGGTGGGGGGTGTTTGACTCACCCTATGAACACACGCACACAGCCCCTGCCTACACACACACCCTTACCCTCCCTACACACACATTGGGTTACCAGTGTGGGCCCCATGCTCCCTTGTCCAGCGATGCACATGGTAGAAGCAGGGAAATGGCTGGGGTGGGGCTGGGCTGCTGCATTCCTGCTGAGGCTCCCCCTCAGTCCTACTGCTCCTAGCTTCTGTCATCTTTGACAGGCAGCCAGGAGTAGATAAATGTTTTCTAAATTTTTTTAGGGGCCTCACAGACTAGATGCAATGGCCTGGCAGACCAAATCTGGCCCACGGGCCATATTTTGCCCACCCCTGGTTTAGATTATGGTTGTATGGGATGGTTTGGACAGGGATGATCCTGCCTCAGGCAGGGGGTTATACTTGATGAGCTCTGGAGGTCCCTGCCAACCCTACTTCTCTGTGACTAGCCTATCCTTCACTCAGGTGGCTTTTATCACATGCATTTATATAAAGAATGCTTTATGCTTACTATATACCATTTTTACCTCTACAGAGCTCTGAGTAATCACTAAATAGTTATTCCTGACAACATTGCCCTGAAGTATAAGTGTCTCCATTTCCACATACAGTGAAACTGAGACAAAGAGGCCACATAGCATGTTAGTGACAGAGCCCAGTTTCTGTGCCACTCACTAAGTGGAACACAGTTGCTCCAGTTAAGGCGAAGTGATTGACCAGCATTAGTGGTACTTTCATTGGCATAAAATCTCCTCTTCCACTTAGTTCCACCTCTGGAGGTGGAATTAAGGAGATGGCCAACCTTAATTCACAAAACCTTAGTGATATTTCTGTGGGTTTTGTTGTCGTCATTGACTTTGTAAACCACACACAGAAAATGCAGTGAGTGTCTTGCAAACTAGGGTCAATTTGAATTAAACCACAGTCTCTACAATAAAATACACTCCAGAAAATATTTGTGTTCAGGCCTAATTTCTCCACTTGAACTTCTCTTTTGCTCTGATTCTGGTGCTAACCAATGCATATCATACTGTTCTCCATAACCTTTTAGGTAACCCATATAGACATGAAATCATCAGGATTCCATATGACTCCCAGAAGGAGGCCTTACAGTGGCCAGGACAACACACATACGTTCACGTAAGTAGCCACGACTATGACAGGAAAATTTTAACATTTTTATTTCCAAGGAAACCCTTCCAGGAGAGATCAAGATGGTGGGTTGTCTTTCTAATTGTCTGTAAACAGGTGTTCTGTAGCAAGGGTCCCCAAATGTTTGCCCTTGAACAGCCATTTTAGAGGAGCAGTCCTGGGTGGCAGGCCTCATCAGAGGGGCTCATTGGCTGCATATGTCCCACAGACCACAGTTTAGGAGCCCTGTTCTGTACTGTGCCAAATCCATGGACATCAAGAATTAAGCACAGTATATACACAGTGAAAAACAAGTAATGTAAAGGGAGTTCTTCTATCCACCTCAGAAACATGTACACAAACACAGAAGCTTATACAGCCTGGCAGGCAATTAAAGATTCCTCATTGTAAGAGCTAACCCAATTCCTTATGCCTAGCCAAGGTATTTTGAGAGATGTGGAAAAAGGGTTTTCCCATTATTTTAACAAAGTGATTGCTGTTTCACATTCAGTGGAGGCTCCCTCATCCAAATATCTGGAGTAGCTTTTGCAGCAGATCCTCTTCCCTGACCTTACTCTGACCTTGCCAACACATTGCCATGCTGAGAGCCCCCCAGGCACACCCACACATACACATCTACGAATCCAGCTCTGCCTTACACATTTGAAACACTCTGGTTCCACTGTGCATGGACTTGTCTGCCTCTCCTGTGGTCACACAGATTGGCCCCTAAGTGCTCAGGCTTTAGGAGTTACTGGGGTTTTTTTAGATAGGTAGACAGATGGATAGAAAGACAAAGTCTCTGTTCAGAGGGTTCCAACATAGAGTTAGATGAAAGACGAGAACTGTGCAGGGTGTTGGGAAGTACAATGATAAACAAACCAAACTGGGGGTGCAGTTTCATATGCTTGCTGAAAAGGTAAAAGCCAGTTGACTTAACTGTCCTTTTCCTATAATGTTGAGTGGAAGTATGCAGGACACTATGTACCATATATAAGAGTACTGCAATACAAGAGCCAGCAAGAAGCAGGAATAGCTTAGTGTGAAAACATTACTCAAGAGTTTCTTGTTGCGGTTGAATTATGCACATGTTAAATATTCTAATTAGATGGAAACGCAAGATTGAATTACAGTTGTACACTGAGAGTAAGGCCAACTCACATGAATAATTCTATCAGATACATTGAATGGAAAGATTTGTGGAGGAACAGAGGGGAGAATGGTTAACGTTGAGTTGCACGGGCAAGGATTAGTCACAAGTGTGAAGGGTGCCTAGGGATTCTTGCATTTAGAAATATACATTCAGCCTACCAACGCTACTTAATGGGTATGACTGCTGTGCTTCCCCAAGGCTTCTGGGGGAACTACTCTGGAGCACTTGCAAAACCTAGAAATGAGACAATGAAGCCATAGTGAAGGCATTTGCTGCTACTTCCAAGCTCTGTCTCCAGTGTGCTTGAGATGGACAGCAGGGCGTGCCCTCACACAGCTTCACTACCTTATATCTAGGTTTGGTGGCTGTGAAGCAGGAGTGGCTGGGTAGAGCATGCATAAGACTGATGCCTCCAGGAGTGTAGGGGAAGTAGTTTTGAGATGTACATAGTTTCCTTTAATGGATAATATTTCTATCCAGTGCTATAGAGTCACATCCTTAGATCAGGGGTGGACAAAATACCACCTGCAGGCTGGATCCGGCCCAGCAGGTGACTGGATCCAGCCTGTGGCTGGCCCCACAGTGCTGTACCTGGGGCCATGCCCTGCCTGGGGCAGTCTGCACTGGGCTCCTGCCGGCCTGGGCCCTGGCCAGCGCACAGCTTCTGCTGGGGCTGTTCCTGGTGCTGCTGCAGCTGGGTGCTGCTCTGCACCCCATGCCTGCAACAACGGCTCCTGCTTTTCAACTTGCCCCTGCTGAGCCATGCTGTGGCACACCAGGCAAGCTGTTTCAGCCAGGTGGCTCCTACCCCAGCATGCAAGGCTCCAGCTTCAGTTCCTGGCTGCCCTCTAGTGGAAGGCGCCTGGGATCTGGAGCCAGAGCCCCCATGCACCTGCCAGAGGGTAGGGAGGTTCAGAGCAGCACCTGAACAGCTGCAGCAACACTAGGAACAGCCTACCAGAAGTTGCTCCTGCTTCATGTCCCCCGCTGCCAGCAGCAGTTCCTCCTGCCACATCACACCATGCCACTCATGTCAGACACATGGATCTCTGGCTCCAGATACCAGAACTGGAAGTGGGAAGCACAGAGCAGCACCTCGTTGGGCTGTGTGTGCAGCTGGTGCTCAGCCCCACATGGACTGCTGCACCACAGACAACACCACCCAGGGCAGCCCTTCTGCATCCTCCCCATTCTCCCCCCACAGTAGGTCCCTGGGATCCAACACCCAAGCAGCCCCCCTCCCCACGTACACCACCCCACCCCCAAAGGCAGGGGCATGTGATCCTGGCCTCTCCCACCCCTCCCACTCCACTTCTGAACGCTGCTCCCAGCTGCCTACAGCCCCACAAGGAATTTTGGTGAGTTGTTGGTGGGGAGAGGAGGGGTGCTGACCCAGACTGCAACAACTGATCAAAACTCACTATGTGGCCCTCAGGCCCAAATAATTGCCCACCCCTGACTTAGATGAAGCAACATATTCTATACTTGTTTTATTTTTTAGCTTCCTAAATTTGTTGAAGGAAGTGGTCAGAGGTATTATCCAAAGCCTCCGAAGACTGTGGCTCCCAACACTACTTTCAAACCATTAGTACCTAATCTCTCTGCAAGAACAACCAACATGCTACGGAATTTAGAAAGGTCCCATTGGATAACATCTTATCACCATGATTTCACAGGTATGCAGAATTTTTAATATCAATGACTAGAGAAAAAGGTAACATAATGTCAGTATAGAAGCTTCCTAGTGAATTCACACTTCCATTTTTCAGTTCTACACCAAAATACTTTGGGTATTTTTATAAAGAAGATGCATCATAAGTGTCTCACACAATGTAAATTCTTTTTTTTTCCTATATATATTTTTTCTCATATTTCTAACCACAGAAGACTAATATAATGTGTTTCCATTAAGGTAGAGGTCCTATGCAGCCCCTTGTATTGGATGATTATGACGTGAAGCTAATTGGCAGAATAACTGGAGAATTAGGGGAAGATGTGGAACTTGTAAGTACTGCAGTTACCAGTATTTGATTCTGCAACCAGATATAACATTTGTTACTGTAGTGCACTTACAAGATCACACTCATTCTAACATGGATACAAATGATCAAAAGCTGAATCAGGGTTAATGTATGTTGTTGACAGAATTCACACAATGTATTAACAATGTGTTTGTTTAATTATTTTGTTTTCTTATCTTTTGAAGCTGCCATCAAAACTTGATAATACTTCACAGTACCATTTGCCTGTAGAAATGACTAATAGCATCCTTGAAACCAGTCTCTCATGAACTGTATGGTAGTGCAGAAATGAAAACAAAATGAGTCAGATCCTCAACTGGTCTAAAGCAGCGTGGCTCCATTAAAATCACCAGTTGGAGATGTGGCCTACTGTCTTTATTGCACACTTTTTTAATAACCTATGAAATTTAGATATTTAATTAGACAGATAGCATCACAGGTTATCATCCATCTACTGCACTAGTTTTCAACCTTTTTTCATTTGCAGACCCCTAAAAATTTTGAATATAGGTGTGAAACCCTTTGAATTGTGTAAGTGTGGGTATTCACATACTTTTGATTGATCATAGTAATCTTTCACAAACCCCTTAGACATAGCCTATGGACCCCAGGGATCTGCGCACCACAGGTTGAAAACCACTGATCTACCAAGTGGCACCAGCTAAGATTAGGCAGGGTTCCATTACTGTTCCATGATCAATCCATTTGTATTCATATGAGTAACTTGCCTTTTTATTTTAAGATGCATCAGGAATATCTAGTTCCACAGAAGTTTAACATAGAATAAAAATGCAGGTCAACAATGAAAAGTACAGAACGGCATGAAAATTCCATGTTTATCTTTCAGTAATTTCAACACTGAGTGCATTCAGTATGCAAGCAACTATAAACAGTGCTATTTCTTATCTGCCATCCGTGTAAACTCAATATGGGATATGATAATCACACTAGACCACTTTCTTTTCATGCAGCATTATCTATAATGGAAGCAAATTGTTCAGGACAATTTGTGTCCTCTGTGATACCAGTGCAATCCCATTGTGTTCCCGGGCTTTTCAGAGGTTTAACTGATTGTAACTTAGCAAACAGCTTTGTTGATAATGCAGATACAGGAATAGATTCCAGCTCACTGTCTCCTGGCTCTGCTGTGCTAGCAGCAATATGAATGCAATACAAACTCCATTTGTCACTGTAGGTAAAGGATATGATTGCAGATGCACCCAACAGGCAGAGCTCTTGAGTAGAATGGTGCCATTTACTCAAAGTCATTTTGCAGAGTAGAATTACAGGTAAATGCTTCAAATGTATTTCAGGGTACATTTGTGTGATGCAAGGGGGTGAGACAAGCTATGCCCTGTCCACATATAATAACTTCGAGACCCTAAATAGCGTAGCTGTGCAGTCATGGTACTTTACGCACACCAATTTGTTCTGCTCTGCACTTCAAACTTGTACTAATACAGGTATACACTTTCCAGTTTGGGAGTTAGTGCATGTGGAGAGGGCACCATGTATTTCAGTGTGGCATCAGCACATTTTACAGTCTGTCAGTACTGCTGGATTACAGCACCTGGCTCCACCATACTGAGACATCCCACTCTGTATGCCCTGTCTCCCAAACCAGAAGTAGTTTAGCTGCCTCAGTGTTGCTGAACTTATTGGCATGTGCACAATGCCATACTACAGTGACTACACTGCCAGCTTGGGAAGTAAGCAGCCAGCTTGGCAAAGTATCACAGTAAGGCACTACGTGTTAGCATAAGACATCCTCAGAATCGTGCTGCTTTGCATCATACACACACATTCTGAGTTATTTAGGGCCTATCTGTACCACTTTTTCCAGTGCTCTTGAATGAGCTCCTCTCAGGTACAGTCCTGCCATCCTCTTTGCACATATTAAGAGCACCAATCTCAGAAGTGAAGCAGAGAATCCTCCCTGAAGTACCCACTACCACTGCTCTCAAGCTCTCTGTCTCCAGCATGATGCTATCTGAGATTCACTGCCTCAGGGTTTGGCAGAGAGGGAGTGCCAGTGGGTGAGTAAGGCTGTGTTTCTTAGCAGTGTACTTGGGAGGGTCAGGGAACAGTGTAGAAATACCCTGAGGCTTTTAAATCCTATTCTTAAAAATTGCTTGAGGCATTGAGGCATGTAAGTATTAAGGGTATGAGCACACAAACAACTTACAACCAATTAAAGAGGGACCTTACTGAACTGCCATGGGTTAGTTTCCACTTACAGTAGGGTAAAAATGCACACCTGGAAATGTACCATAGATAACTAACATGCAGTAGTTCCTCACCCTTTTTGTTAACCCTGCCTATGTACAGACATTCTGTTCCTACTGGAAGAAATGCCACTTTCCCAGTGGAAACTACAAGTGTGAAAGCATTCAATTTCTCCTGAAGGTAACATCCTCACTCTGTGAGAGAGATCTTCCAGGTATCAACCCAGAAGGTCTCCCCTGCAAGAGAAACACTTTCACTTGTACACTCTCCTGCTCTGGTCCAGGAAGAGGGTGGAGCAATGAGGCAATGTGCCCACACCCATACCCCAGACTAGGGATCCGGTATGCATGGAGAGGGGGGCCACTGCAGGCTGTGTGCTTGTACTGCTCTTTCTCCTGGAAAGATTTCTAGTGGTGGAAATTTCTAGTGCTAGAAATGAATGCCTGTTCAAGGCCCCTATGTGAGTTGTTTGCATGCCCATACCATAAATCAAAGTCTTAAACTCATTGGAACCTGGAATATGTAACTGCCTAAATCTGGTTTTAAAAGCCAAAACATCAGGATGTTTGTTTGTTTTTTTCAAAAGAAAGCTGTCTAGTCTACTCTTAAAAGTGACCTGGGAAAAAACAAACAAACTGGCAGTAGGATACTGGCCAAGGTAGACCTACAGTCTGACCCAGTAAAGGGCAGTTCTTATGTTCTTATAGTTTGCTGCTTCCAGGTGTACAAAAAAAGCTTGAACTCATATTTTCAACCATATCCATTAATTCACATGTTAGTGTTACTTGTCCTATCGACTCAGAACTGGCATTTGGAGAGGCTAATTTTAAGTCGCACCAGTTTTTCCCAACAGTATTATCCCCCTAGCACTTTCTAAAAAAATGCAGAAAAAAATTAAATCTTTGGATTATACACCAAAATACAGTATAAAAAAAATAAGTTATTTGAATATATTCTGTCAGAGCTGTCCAACTTCTAAACAACCAGGGACCACACCAGCAAGGGCTGCACACCATGGGGGCTGCACTAGCAGGGCCCCTCAGGCTGTAGACTGCATCCATGGGCAAGTGCCCCCACCCTATTGTGCCCCATGCGCAGGTGGACAGTCCCTCATGACTCTACACAGTGCATGATGGGGACAGGTGCCCGCTCACCCCTTTGCACCATCATGGGGATAGGCACCTCCCCAACCCACTACTCTGCACACAGGGTGGGCATCTCTGCACAGCACAGCACAGCACCCCACCTTCAGCTCCCCATGGCTTCCCCATGGCACCATGTCATACAGACACTCTGACTTGCCTTGCTTCCCTGGTACCACAGGCTATACCATGCTGCCTCCTAGGGCTGAATCAGGCAGCAGAAGCCAAGGGAGGAAGGGGGAGCCCTGGTGGTGGTGATGCCTGGATGGAAGACCAGGGGCTGCACGTAAACCCCTCACGAGCTCCCTGTTAGCCAGGCCTGTCTTGTGCTGTATGTCAGAAACTCCACTATGCAAGAAAGTATGCGGACTCCATGGATCCTCAGGGGCTAGCACAGTACAAATTACAATGATGGTAGCTCAGTGGTGCGTCAAAACCAGGTAAAAATACAAATGTAGGCATTTTACTTGCATGTTACAGGAGCACAGATGGGAGGGATGATGACAACAGAAATGAAGAGAAAACATAAGAAACTCATCTCCTCTCTTCCCCTTGCTGTCCCCTCCCCCCAAACACCCACCCATGTGCTGTGCAGAGGTGTTGAGCACAATATATTCATCATTGTCTTCAAAGCATAAAGACTTTG